CTGTAGATCCTGATGTCGCTAACTGATCTAGTTGTAACCTCTCCTTCTCTGCCTTCAGTGCATTTGCTATAGTTTCTTGCTCATCCGTTGCAAAAATGTTAAGCATCTCAATGATTTCTGCTTCTGCTCTAGCAGTGGCTTTTAGTGAGTCTTGTAGCGTGGTACTACACTTGGTTACTCGGCTGAGTCGTCTCCTCATCATACCTTCATTGTTTGGTATGGTAATTCTTTCCTCAATTAGTAGTTTCGCTCGTTGGACGTCCATCTCTAGCATCCTAGCTTGCGTTGTTAGGTTGATCATCTCTTCGGCAAATCGTTGCATTTTTATTTTTCTTCTTTTTGTATCTACCCCAGCAAACTAAACTAACTTCTACTTCCTGGTCCTGGTTCGGTCGATGCACCAATTGTTCCAAATACAGGGCAGTTAATATAGAACGGTTTATTATAATACGAGTTACAGTATCAGGGTAGTAATAGTTACGATTTAGTAGGAGAGCTAGAAATAACTAGGAGGTTGTTCTACGTATGTATCGTGATGGTCGTTATTGCAAGAGTGTCATATCCTGAGAGAAATTGACTAATGACCTGACCTATGTTAATGATAATGTTATTGATAATGATAATGATAGTGGTAATATTTGTAGTGATAAATAAGGTGTATTTTGTTGAGGAAATATTTGATTACCCTCAATATTTCCGTAACATTCCCGGCGGCTAAAAGGGTAAATTAGGTGAGATAATGTTATCGGATATTTGTTTTGCAATATGATTGATTAGATGAATTATTAGAGCTAACAGTTTAGGTATTAGGTTGATTAGTATTATAGCTATAAAGATTCTACCAATTATTGATCCGATAGTTATTTCCCAATGATACCACATCTTTTCAAGTAGGGGACCTAAATGGGGAAATTCAAGGTCCAATCCGTTAGAAATCCAATTTTCCTTCACGTTCTTGATAGTTTTTGCCTGTTGAAGGTTCTCTACGTGTGATGGCAAGTATTTCAATGTAGCGTTGATCCAAAAAATTGTTTCTTCTAAGCAGTATGCAGTGCATTTCATATTTACGTCCGGCCTTTCCGCATAGATTATGGCGTTCGTCTTAGGGTTTGAACTATCGCACATTACAGTGGTTAGTTGATAATCGCATCGAATTGCTATTGTCATCTTCTTCTCGGCTTTGCAGTTGACTTGGACTGACATTCCTTGTTAGCAGTTATAGCAACCCTTTGCCTTTATTTCCGATATGCCACATTGCAGTATTTCCTGTAGCATGGTTGTATCTTCCATTTCTTTTCCAATTAAAAATATGTTTAGTTCTTCTGCGAAAGATGTGATTTCTACTGTTCCTCCCTTCTTCTTAATTAATTAGTTTCTTTTCCTTTTGGTTAATCCTTGGAACAGGTATGTTTCCATCATGTTTATGTCGTTGCACGAGCATTTTGGTTGGGAACCGCTCGCGGCGCACGTACAGGGTTATGTGATAGTGCATGATCCGAACAAATTTTTTGCTCTCTCCTTCGTATCACACATTATGCTAGGTGCTGCTGTGGGTAGGAGTAATGCCGTCTCGACTCCATTAGTGATGAATCGATCTCCTGTGTGTTCTTCCGAGGCCCGATTTGTAATTTGCTCCACGGATATAGTTAAGTGCTTGTATTCTACTTTCGTGTAAGGTATGATTTCGATATCCGTTTTATCGACAATTTTGTCATCTATCTTCTCTTGTATGCGAAGAATGATTAGAAGGTGACCATTCTGAGCATGTAAAAATTTCGTGGATATCGTCGTCGATTGGTACAAAGCCTGGACGAAATATGAGGCAGGCTGCCGATACA